TCTAAACTTGGCCCTCATATGTTAACTGATTAACATAAGCGAAATGAATAAGAGAACTAGTTTATTGTTTTCTTTTTCTATGGTTAAAAAAAGTATTGAGTTATATAAATAACAACGAAAGAAGAAAATCACAACACGATAAATTTTATTTTTGTGTCAAAGAAGTTTTATTATAGATAATCGTCTCACGGTATACAAGTTTGAATAATATTAGGAGTCAACATGAATTGATTTCAAGACAAATAATCGAAATATCTTCGGGAAAGACAAACGACTTTATCCGTCATTATCTTTTAGAGGACTTTGATACTCGAGCACGAGTATTTTGCCTAGTTCTGAAATATTATATATATAGCCTTCAACGGAAATCGTTTTCTTCAATGAGATGGAACAATCTATCTTAATTGTCAATCAAAAACTAGTCACTTGTCTTTTCCAAGTGTAAAGTTCGAACATCATAATAAATATAAATTAAAGTTTATACCATATAGATTTAAATGATATTGATATTATTCTTACCCATCGTAAAAATTCAATTTGTATTTCTTCTGGTTGATCATTAAGTGTTTTTAATAATTCAATAGGAGATTCTTGTCCTTTAATTTCACTTAAAATTTTAATAACATATTCATATTCAGATAATAATTGAAGAATTTTTAAGATAATTTTTTGACCAGATTCATCTTGAATTGAATTTACCATAAGAGAAACTAAGAAACAGTAGAGAGAAAAAAAATATTTAAATTTTTGAAATATTAAACAAAATTAGTATCATTAATTTACTTAAAAGCATCAAATGTTGCCGAGTTAACATAGGTGAATATGTTGCATCAGGTAGAAATAGTTGATTAATATCATTTAATAGCTCTTTTTCATTTGAACTCAATGTTCGATTACACATTGGTTCAATAAGACTTACTCGTGGTTTTATTTTATCCGTTACAGGTAAAATACAATGTCGTACAGGAATATTATCGAATTTAGTATTACCAGTTGTATTTGATTGTATCAGATGCATTGGTGAATCAGCAGAATTATTATTATTTCCTTGTTGTTGAGCTGCTGATATTGGATCTTTATTAAGAAATGATAAAAGCATTCGTCCTAATGGACTAAAATAAAATGATAAAAAAATATTTGTCAAGAAACAAAATTGAGATTAAATTATTATTCAATTTACGTTGTTTTTACAAATCTTGGTAATTCAAGAATTTCTTCAGGTATAAGAGAACTTGTACTATTAAGAAGATATTTTGTAAATTCATCACTGAAATTATTACAATTCCAATCTAGTAAATCATATTGATGACCACTAAAAATAAAAAAAAAACTTTTTTTTTTCTTCCAACTTAAAGATTTTAATTGAATAGATTTACCGAAAATTACTACAACTTTTTTCTACAATCCATGATTGAATTTCAGCTAGAGTTTTTTTAGTTTGACCAAGATCAAGTCTAAAATTAATAAATTTTCTTATAGATGGATCTCGTTTAAAGATATACACAACCAATTTTTTGGTCTCTGTCTAGAGAAAACTAATTCAGAGCTTGTACATGTTACATCTAAAAACTTCGTGAATATTAATGTTTTGTTTATTTAGTCGATGATTAGCGATTTTTGGATAATCGTTCTTGAATTGTATTCTGATTGATAGGATTTATAAGATAATTCACTTACAATCATAGAATATTTGGTGAGAATCTTCAGTTCCGGTTTCGATCGCGAGACTCTGGCCGAATTTCATCTTTAGGTCTCGGTCACCGAAACCCGGGCTAAAGCTGCTCTCGTACATGTTGAGTTTCTTTAAAAAATTATCTCGCTTCACTTTATTAGAATAAATAAAGAGCTATATCTCGATTGCGGACACATTTTTTGCCCGATTAAGAACAAAATGTCAACAAAGTAGAATCGGACGCAGAGAGACAAAAATATTCACATTGTAGAATCCAGACAAAATTTATTATGTGGAACAATATCAATAATGAAGCATAAGTGAGTATCTGATTTTTATTAGCTTAATAATCAAGATCATTCTTGTTAATTCTATCGAATATCTTTATATATTGATAACAAAAAGAGTACAAACTCTTTTAATATCAATTAAGATTCAAAAGACTATTTAAATATTTTTGTTTTGCTTAAATCAAAATGTTTTCATTGTCTATTGATGTGACTTTTGTAGGACGTATTAAACTTTGTTAATATTATTCTTGTTCTACTTAAAGCATGTTATAATCTTGTGAATCCCGGATTCATTCTATTGATATTTCTTCTCGGTGGTTATTAGTTTTTAGCTTAAATCCAAAATGACGAAGAAACTAAAGCATCTTCAATATATTTACGAATAATATAATATATTAATTCAAGAAAAGTTTCATTCTTAAATCAATCTACCTACACTGATCATCTTATTACACCTATTTTCATTTGTGTCCATGATGCGGACATTTATCTTTCGATAAAAAAAAACAAACATTCGCAATAAAGAAAATTCATCATTATATGATGGCATAAATTAAATAATATTGTGAATATTTGTAAACATACACTTTTGGTTTTGGTGCTAATCCTTGTCGAAAAATTTCTTCTGGTGGTGTATACGAAATTCCACTTGAACCATATAAATATTCTCTACCATGTACTCCAACACCTGTATGCCAAACACCATCGATTTTTTTGCCTTAATAGAAAAAAAGAGCCGATATGATCAATTGAAAAAGCTATAATCTTAAAAAATCCACCTAGTAAAACTGAACCATAGGCACCCGCAAGGCCATATGAAATATCATAAATATATAATTTAACATTTGTAAAATTCGACATGTTAGAAAGTAAATCTACAGTTCAAATAATAATCCAATGGATTAGATTAGAATGAGTAAGAATAAAAAAAAGCAGGAGAATGTCTTCTATTTACATTTATAAGAGGAGTGTGCAAAACAAGAAGAGGAAATAGATTATTTGCCATTGTGACTTGACCGACATTTATTACTCTGGATTGACTAGGATAAACAAAGCTAACAAGAATAAATTTATTTGCTACTTAGGTCTATGTAGATCAAAGGACCGGCTACAGTATATGTCAACACAAAACTGTTAGACTTTCTTTTTTTAATTTGCAACTGATTTTTCTTATTTGAATAAAAATACACAATATTTATCATAATGAATTATATATTCTATTATTCTTATATGACTATAATAGAAGAACTTACAAGAAAGTCTCGAAGAGACGAAAAAATCCTACAAGGAATTTATTTCTATAGACCTTTGAAACCTAGTTAGGACCGTTTTACTAGATTTTTGATCCAGTTTTAGGTATTTATCGGAAAATTAAATGGTGCAATTTCGACTTGAGATTTCGTTCATAGATAGGTCTAATGATTCTTAAAATATTCTAAAAACTTTAGTTAAAGAAAATTCCGCTTTGTCGAGCTATTTCTGTGTTAAGCGAACATTTTGTTGGAAATTCAGTATCTCGGTAAAGGAGCATTATTTTCGGCTGAAACTTTTAGGATATTCTAAAAGTCATCCAAAATATCTATGGGTGAAACTCTATTATTTCATTTTTCAGTAAACACCTAAGAACGGATCGAAAATTTATTACAATAATTAGAACTCAGTTCTAAAGATTTCATCAAGGGGAATCCTTTTAGGATTTCTCTAGTTTCACTTTTTCATCGTATTTTAATCATTAAAAAATATAACTGTCTGTTTTCTTCTGAGTCTTTCATATACATAACTCGCTTTATGATTTCATCGAGAAATATTAATACAAAAAATACTAAATCTTTCCTAAAAGATATCGATAATATAACTAAATCTCAAATAAAGTCATACTTAATTTATAAACTTTTCTTTTCTTAGATTTGTCCTCGTACCTAAAGTTTTTCGCCTGCGCTGCAACGGAAGCGTACAACTTATACTCGTCGCTGTGTAAATAGTTAAGTCTACTCTTATTTTATGATTTGACACCACAGAAGCGAACATGTTTTTAAAAAAAAGTCGAGAAAGTGTAAATGTAAACTGACACTAGGACAACTTTTCCATTTTTTTAATATTGTTTCCGACGGAAATCATAAATCGAATGGCAGTTTGCCTAAACGTAACACTGTTATGCTCTTGACAGACTTCTTTTCAATTACTTCGGAAGATTTGAGAGCTAGAAAGCTTGTTCAAACACCATCCGATACAACTGATCACAATTTATTCGTGCGAGAATCGTTCTTTTTGCTTGAAGTCTCAGACTACTAGGAAAGGTTTTATGTTCACCTAACACTATTACATAAAAGATTCTTTTTCTTCAGTGCCGTCGATCAAACTCTAATTTCTGGCGAAAGTATTTTTTCAAACTAAATGCTTCTAGAGTACAAGAATAAAGTTCCTACATAAAAACGGGAGCTCATTAAGCATACAGTAAGTTAGAATTTATACAACCATAGACGCATTGCCAATAGTGACAGAAGTCAAAAATCCGTAATCCATTGTGTAGAGCATTGAATTCTGAGTTGAATAGTATGTCGTGTAATTAGCATAAAAAAATTGAATTTAATTGACATTCAGATCTGTTTTACTCTGAAAAAAAAGACTTTCAAAAACTTGATCAGCGAAGTATCGAGTTACATGCACAAATCGATGAACTCCTTACACCGTAATAAATACTATTCGATGTAATCTTTGTCAATATAATTCACGAAAAATTTTTTTCTTGTATAAAAAAAATCTAGAATTATAATATTGAATATTAAGATAAAACAATTCATCAAATCTGTCCTAAGAATTATGATTTTTGTTTTTGTTTTTTTTTGTTATTCTCTATCTCTTATTTATCCATAGAACACACAGACGAATTAAGACATAGACACAAGTAAACAATATTTATACATGTATAACGTTTCAAATGTACACTAGAGTTTTGAAAAATAATAATAATAATAATGCATCACAAAAAAAAAATATATAGTTGAAAAGAAAAAGAAAGGAAAGAAAAACTGAATTAATTATGATGATTGATCATCATTATCACTACTGTCACTTGACGAAAGTGTTATAAGTTCAATATCAGTTGTTCGTGATTTCATTGATGTTAGTCGTTTATTTCGTTTTCTACGATGATGTGCATTATTTGATTTTGATGATGATGTTGATGATAATATTGATGATGTTGAACTATTACATCGTTTTCTATTTGAAAATTTTTCACTTGTATCTGATGATAAATCATATGTTATTTGTGCTATATCTTCCCAATAATTAGCATCACCAACGGTTGACATAATTGGAGATATTGTTGAATTTGATCTATGAGATGATAGACTAGCATTATCGTTCATTTTATTAATGTATCTTTCGTCAATATCATGATTTTGATGAAGTATTGGAGTTGTTGGTAATGAAGAATTATTGATTTCTCCATCTTCATCTTCACTTTCACTACCCGATGAAAGAACTATACAATCACTTTCATCTGATTGATAACGAGCTTCTAGAAGATAAAATAGAAAATAATCATTTGATGATATATTTTCATCAAAAAAAAACAATATCAATGATTCAAATAATCGTTTAATCAAAACACACACAATTATACCGTGAAAACACCAAAATTTCATGCTAATACTAAAATCTATTAGGATAATATTATCATTATTAGTATATCAGTGAATTATTATAAAAATAGACTAAAGAAGCAAGTGCATATCATTATCATCTAGTAAGTATTCTCTTGAATCGATGTAGAGCTAGTTCGAAAAATGACCTACGAACAAGAAAGCTATATATATGTCCACTGCCGGTAATCTAAATCAAGTATTCCCTTTATTCGTATAATATTAGAAGAGAGTTGCAAGTTTTTAATACTTCTAAAAAATAGAACTTTTCTTTTTATTAATCTTCGAAAAAGAAAATATACATAATTTTCTATGAATTGTTTTGTTTCTCGTTATACTCAATGGTGTTCTTCTCTTACTTTATAAATATTTGCATGACACTTTTTTTTGAAAAAAAGTTGAGCGACTAATATCAAGTTTTGTGACTATAGAATCTCTAAAATAGTGTCATGCAAATATTTATAGAGTATGAGAAGAACACCGGGATAACATAAAGTTCAGAATAACGAAAAAAAAATCCTGCATATTGTTTATTGCTCCTCTATTATCAGATAAGAAAGAAACCACTTGATTGAGTTTATTCGCAATAGATATATATAGCTTCCTTTTTGATAAGTACCTTTCCAAATGCCATATATATATATATGTTGACATAGCAACATTATCATTATTTAGCATGGCATGTTTAATAGATTCTCAAAAGTCTATAAAATAAACAAGAACACTAAATTACTAGACAAAATCGCCTTTTCTATTAAGACAGTCTTAACGAATAGTTTTTTTTTCTAATGAATCATTTTTTTAATATTTTCTGTCTTATTTTTTTGTCGTTCTATTTAGTTTTCTTTGCGTATGTATGCTTAACGGGTGAGCGTGGGTACATGAAAAGTAGAGTCATGCGCCAAACTTTCGAATCATTAACACTAGTTCATCATAAACAATATCTATATAATTTCTATTAGTTTACTTGATGAAATGAAGAAAAATATAGATTTTTCATTGTATGAATTCAAGAAAAACAATATGTTAATCTTTCTTAACTTACTATTAGAAGAATTTTGTATTGATTCATCTTCATTATTTTGTTGTACATGTGTTGTATCTGTAACATCAAATTTTTCTTGTTTAACACTATCTAATATATATTGACAATCAGTTGATGAATCAATTTCTACTGTTGAACAATTTGGTGGTACATTGGAAAGTATTGTTTTTAAACGTTCATCAATACGTAATGATTCAAATGAAGCTGATTTTTTACATAATGGACATGTCCATTGTAATCGTCGTTCATTCATTAATAAAAATGCTTTTAAATCAAAACATGTTAAATGTGAACAATATGATGATTTAGCTGGTACAATAATTAATGATTGTGTTATTGGACATAATAATGAAACACGATGACGTGTTGCCATTAAACCTAAATCTTCAATTTCAATTTCAATATCACTATCATTATCTGTTTTATTTGAATATGGTTCACGTTTAATTATTAAATCAAATAATGTATCTAATGATACACAATGTACTAATTGTATTGATAATGTATAAGATTTAGGTAAATTTTTAAATGACATTGTTGTTGGTGATTGTAACCATAGATAATTTAATGTATTAGTTGTATTTGCTTTAAGTATTATTTTATCTGTTATATCAGTTGGAAATGATATTGAATGTGCTTGTGAACCAACTTGTTTTGATATATTATTATTAATTACTGGTTGATTCTAAGACAAAAAAAAAACGTTTGTTCTTTTTTTAGAATGCAAAAAAATTTTTGATTTCTTACATTGCATTGAACAAATAAATAAGGTGGTAAAACATCATTATGTCTTTCATAAGTAATTGTCGGTGCAATACGAAGAAAAATTCGAGCAATATTTTTTCGTATTAAATCAATATCAGTTTCATTTAATATAAAACGCATTGGAGAAAATGTATGCCAATCAATAGGCATATTTGAACATTCAATAGTACGCATTTTTTCAAAAAAAGGTAAATTTATAAATTGTATATGATTAGCTTGTGGTAAAACTTCAATTGGTGGAGTTTTAGGTAAAACAATAGGATGATTTTTAGAGGACGATGATGATGATGATGATGATGATACATGATTTGATCGAGATGGACGTGTACGACTATTATTTATTTGTTGAATTTTATTTGCTAATTGTGGAGTAAAATTTGATGCAATTAAAGATTTGCAACGTTGAAGTAAATCACGTTTATGTCCTTGACGAGATAAATTAGCAAAATCAAGTACAGCCTAAAAAGATATATAGAAAAATTATTTTTTATTTGATTTATAATATGACAAACTTGTAAATCTGACACACGATAATTTTTGATTGATTCAAGTGCATTAGATTTTGCATGAGAACTTGTTGATGAACTCATATTTAATTAATTTCAAGCATAGATAAAAAAAACAAAAAATGAACAAAATAATTATTCTTCTAGAACGAATAAAAAAAATATGAATGAATGATGACTTGTCAATAATTTCCTGATGTTTTATTTTGGGAATAAAGTTTTCTTTTTTTTTCTCTTTCTTGGAAAATGTTATAAATACATGATCAATTAGCTATTCGCTACTGGTAATAAGTTGATAAACTTTGATTGTAGCGATTATTTTGATTGTTTTTCCCATTTTGTTTTATTTCGAAAGAAAATATTCTCGATGAAGATTTTTAGAAAAAAATATTCAAACTTCTTTGTTCTTCAATAAAGTATAAAATTATGGATTTGTATATTAAGTGTTATAGATATACCGTATTCTAGTGCTATCTATCGTATTGAATATTCATATGCATTTTGATCGTTCTGTGATTGATATATAGTTATACATTGATAAAAGATTCTGTCAAAAGTATTCTTAAGCTTCCAAATTAGTTGTGGATTTCTCCAGTACTAAAAATAGGATATTGACACAGATGCTGAGCCGAACTTGATTCCTAGAGCGATTCATTTACATTTATGAGTTGTCTATAGTAAGTAAGACAAGAAAAAGATGAAGCAATAGGTGATGTGTATGTTAAGGACAAAGTTGGACGACATTTAGAGTTTGACCATATACAACCATTTTTTTTTTCGTGTTTCACTAGGTATCGTTCATATCAAATACTTATATAAATTAATTTGTTAATATAGATTACTTAGAAAATATATTTTCTGTTGAATATTTAGTTGATTACAAATCAATACCTACAGAAGAATTAAAATAAGTTATTGTAGATGATCTAAGAGATATTACTATCATTGAAGTATCGAAACTTTACAATCGCAGATTGACACACAGATGGATAAGCAACTATAAAAGAAAACATGCTAGAAAACAATATTTATGCAACAAAAAAAAGAACAAGAATTTTTCGTTCAACTGTACATCTTTCTAAACTAGACCTGGGCAAAAATACGGATTCATACATTCGAATAAGATGAACTAAAAACTATTCGATATAAAAGGTACTTTGTAAAATGAAAAAAACTTTTTATTTGTTCAAACTCTAACTCTTCGACTTCATTCATTTACTTCTAGTTCAAATCTAATTTCCTTCGGACAAGTGTGATATTACGTTCTCATGTGATTCAAATCGAACAAAAGTCATCGATATAATTTTCGCTTCACCGGTAATGGTTTGACACGTAAACGGTTAATTACCCGTTGACTGTGATATATCGATCATTACTTTCAAAGCGGGAATCTATTGCTGATATATCGTCAGTTCTTATGAGTTTTGTCATATATTAACAGTAGTACCAACAAACGTGCAACATGGATTATATCAAACTTCGGATCTCTTAAGTATACAATGGACAATATAACTCTTCAGATTTTGTATTCATCTACAAATGTTTTTTTTCTTCTCATTGAGATGATTTATGTATGTTTATATTAATCTTCAAGAGTAAGACATCTTTTTCTCGTTTCTAAAAATATTGAGGATTAATCGTTATTGAGACATAAAATCTTCTTTTGAAAGAAGATTTTTCTAGCAATAGGATAATACTCTTATGAATAATTGCAAAAATACTGTATGAATATATTCATGGGGTTAAAAGGTTAAATTTTCAAAAAAATTCATTTTAATTACATTTATTTGTATTAGAAAGAAAGATATTTGCTTTTTTTTCTTCGTTTATTGATAAAGTTACGTAAAAATATGCAAATCGATTTAGATTTGAGAAGTAGTTGTGCTATATCAATGTTGAATAATTTATTTAAAAATACATTCTGCATATTTTAGCACAGTTTAAAATCAATAAAAGTTAACTATTGAAAGTTATTTGTAAAGCTTCTTTTGTAATATTCGAAATTTGTCCATGTCGTCCATATTTAATCCATCTCAATGACAAAAATATATTAGGATGTTCATGTCACTGACAGCAGATATTACTATAGAGAAATACAAAATCATAATATGAATCAAACTCAACCATTAGATATTCATTAACAGTTAAGAAAACAAATAATTAATCAGAATAAATTGGATATAGTATTTATTTCTAACAAAAAAGAGAAATTTTGACATACAATCCTTTATGTAACAAACTCTAATGAGATCATTTTGTCTTGTTCTAATATGCTTTCACTCAATGTTTATCACGCATGTTTCATTAGAGTCTCTAGAAAAGGTCATTTTCTAATAGTAATGGATTTGCTGACACTTAAAGAAAATTTTCTATGATCTTTTAACACATTATTATCATTATTATTAAACAAACAAGGATAATAATAACAATTGTAAATAATTATTTTAGACATTATAAATAATTAAATCATATATAAGAATATAAATTTCGAAAAATTGATTTTTATCACATACCATATTCTTTTTTTTTTCTGTGTCAACTAGTTGATTAGTTTTACTGATTCTGATCAATAATTATTCCATCTATTTTAATGATTTGAAGTGTTTTTCTTTCTCTATTGTTACTAGAACT